TATATAAACTTTAATATATTTAATATTTATTTCTGAATTACATTAAATAATAAAACGGAAAATTATAGACCCCATTTTATTGATATTTAAATAGTACAAGCTTATGTTGAACTATTCTTGTACATACAGGCGCTGTATTCTGCAGGACATAAATTACTGAATGAAAAGGCTTTCGGTTACCACATGTAAATGTCTAAAACGTTTGTTTATTTGAGAAATATATCTAACCAACTTCATCAAACTGCAATAAAGACAGCAAACAGTGCGCGAGAGTAGCGGGAATCAGTGACTGCAGTGCTCCATTTTCAACTACTTCAAGCTGCAAATCTCACCGATCGGTATTCGGTAAGTTATTTTGAGATGGCAGACGCCTCTCCCTGAATGAGGACGAGAATAGAGAGCAGCAGTCATCCTCTAATCGTATTTGTGGCAGTTGTACAAGCGTTTGGGTGAACTCCATGCTGCTAGCGATAGCGCTTACTATGCTGGCGGAAGTAAGAATACCCTGCTTCGCATCAGAACGGAAGTAGCGCGACGTCATGTGAAAAGGGCCTATTGCAGTTCGCGCAGTTATGAGCTGCATTATGAGACTAACGCCTGTTTCACACATACTCCGGCTGCAGTGCGTATGCGGTGCAGAAGCAGCACGGACTCATTGTGCTTTCACACAGGACGCGTTTGCAGTTCGCTCCTGATCCGCGGCTGTATACCACAAACACAACATTTATCCATTATTTTGATTTCAAATCCAAACGTAGTTAGCCTATACTGAAAGTGCTTTTTCAGCATTGTGATCCTCTTTTATCACAGTACAGTTACACAATCTTTCATAGACATATTCACGTTTAAACTCAATTAATATAAACAACGTATTACATGCATTTGGCTTCTAGATTTGTATATTAAGTTGCTCAAGCAAGTGGAAACACATTTAAACACAGCATATAGCCTACTTTTCTTGTGTTGGCTATCACAAATATTTTAAATTCAAACTTACCACTGACAGAAACAGTCGGCTCTCGTGCCTTTTACATTTAAATCTTTATTACAAACAGTCCAGCGGGTCTTAAAGAACTTTGTTTTTCTACCTCCACAAGACACAAGTGCATATGTTGCCTTTTATATCTAAAAGTGCACTTTTATTTGTTTTAAACCTAGCCAAAAAGCCCGTGAAACACAGTAGACTTTAATTATATCTATTTATTGTGAAATTACTACATTTCAGTCTCAATCCATGTTCATTTTTACCGCGAACAAAGCGCTGTCACTTTAATTCAGCGAATACAGCGTAGCAAAAATAGACTCGGTGCGTAAACGATCGCTGCACTGCTGCAGACGCGCCGCACCTGGCGCACCTGGACGGACCGCAACCGCGTGCAGTGTGAAAGCTCTAATCCGTTAACATGGGTGCGTAAAAAAAAATGTAGCACGCTCTAACTACCTACAAGGAAAGGTGGCATATTTATGTAGTTACTTAATGAGGTGAACTTTGGGAGCCTTAATTAGAGATGAATTAATCATTCTGTTGTGCAAATAATGTGAAATCATATTTAAAGCATCTTTACATGTTATTGTAAAAGTTATCTGTGGGTTCCATTTTTTCTTTTCTTCAAGTAAACATCATTTTTATCTCTGAGTCACCAAGCTTTGTTACCCAAGTTACTAAATTGAACACCTGATTACAAAGAAATGAGTTCACTTCCAGAAAAAATAAATAAATAAAAATCCTGATAATTTACTCACCTCCATGACATCCAAGATGTATTTCTTTCTTCAGTCGAAAATAAATTAAGGTACTTGAGGAAAACATTCCATGATTTTTCTCCATATAGTGGACTTCAATGGGTTGACGGTCCAAATTGCAGTTTCAATGCAGCTTCGAAGGGCTCTACACGATCCCAGCTGAGGAATAACACCTGTTTCACACATACTCCGTCTGCAGTGCGTATGCGGTCCGTGTGCGTTACGTATGCGGTGCAGAAGCAGCACGGACTCATTGTGCTTTCACACAGGACGCGTTTGCAGTTCGCTCCTGATCCGCGGCTGTATACCACAAACACAACATTTATCCATTATTTTGATTTCAAATCCAAACGTAGTTAGCCTATACTGAAAGTGCTTTTTTCAGCATTGTGATCCTCTTTTATCACAGTACAGTTAACACAATCTTTCATAGATATATTCACGTTTAAACTCAATTAATATAAACAGCGTATTAAATGCATTTGGCTTTTAGATGTGTATATTAAGTTGCTCAAGCAAGTGGAAACACATTTGAATACAGCATATAGCTTTCTTGTGTTAGGTTATCACAAATATTTTAAATTAAAACTTACCACTGACAGAAACAGTCGGCTCTCGTGCCTTTTACATTTAAATCTTTATTACAAACAGTCCAGCGGGTCTTAAAGAACTTTGTTTTTCTACCTCCACAAGACACAAGTGCATATGTTGCCTTTTATATCTAAAAGTGCACTTTTATTTGTTTTAAACCTAGCCAAAAAGCCCGTGAAACACAGTAGACTTTAATTATATCTATTTATTGTGAAATTACTACATTTCAGTCTCAATCCATGTTCATTTTTACCGCGAACAAAGCGCTGTCACTTTAATTCAGCGCGTGCAGCACAGCAAAAATAGACTCGGTGCGTAAACGATCGCTGCACTGCTGCAGACGCGCCGCACCTGGAACGCATTGACGGACCGCAACCGCGTGCAGTGTGAAAGCTCTAATCCGTTAACATGGGTGCGTAAAAAAAAACGCACCGCACACGCACCGCAGAAGGAGTATGTGTGAAACAGGCGTAACCGCTGCAGACACTGCCAATAAGATACGAGTAGCTCCTGTCAAATGACAGTTAAATATTTCCCCACATAAGATTTGATCAGATAATAAAAACATTATTATTCATTCTGAAGCAGGTGTCTCACCCTCGCGCCGGTGAATATGTCCTCGCCTTCATCATCATCATCCTCGTCGCTGTCCAGCACTTGAGTGTCTAATTCTGCCTCCTGATCTTCATTATCAGGGAAAGGAGGAGGATTCCGCCCGCAGCCGCCTGACATCGCTTGTTTCGACCAAAGGAATTATATGTAAGAACAAACAAACCTAACGGATCAAGTCTTGAAGTTGGCGTAATGTCTCCCTGACTGTCTGTTACAGGTAAGCGTGGATTGGATTTCACTGCTTGGTAACCTCAGCCTACTTAAATACATCCGCGGATGGCTCTGCGACGCGGTCTCTCAGGCTCAGAGAGAGAGCGCTGATGCGCCTCCGCCTCCTGATGGTCTGGAGCAAATACTACAGCTACTTCAACAACTACACCCACAAGCAGACCCACTGATGCTGCTGTGCATTTAGGACATGCTGTCATTCAGCGAATATATTTGATCAGTACAGCTACAGGAATACACATTTACTCTCAAATCATTGGTTATAGTTTCATCATGATTTGAGAGCAGCTCAATTTTGTGAACCGATTCAACCACAGCACATGCATCATTCGACTTAAAAGAATGATCAGCTCGCGAATCGCACTTGGCATGAATTTATTAAATATATATATATATATATATATATATATATATATTCTAATACATTTCTTATATATTTCTATGAGCGTCTAAAGATTTTTGCACTTGTCCAGTTAGTGTTTCTGCTGATGTCAGAATTGGAGAATTCTAAATTCAGTGAGCAGGGCAACGATGAGAAAGACAATGTAGAAGATCAGTAGAAAAATGCCATAGACTCGGCTCAGGTGAAAACACTGAAGAGGAACCAGTATGAAGGAGAAGACGAGAGACAGACCCAGTGCTCCTGAGAGAACCCAGCACAGCATCCCTTCTGGTTCCAGCTGACCACACAACAGAACACACACAGCACACAGATCAGACCCCGTCACTCATCTATACTGGAATATTCAACTGACTAAAAGCTTGCAACATATGCATCCAGTTACATGTATATGACATTGACATTGTATATAATATATAGAGTGTGAGACATACCATCACAACATTATTTTCATTCTGAAAGATTTGCAGCAGGCAGCCCAGGCCCACACCAAACAGCATGTCTTAATGTAATGTTAAAGGCATATGAATAATGCGGTTATGGTAATGTACCAGGATATTTACAATACTGTAAATATATAGTATGCTTAAATCTGTTGATGTATTTGTTAATGCATATCCACAAAAAGGAGAACTTTTTATGTTAAAAGATACTAAAGATAATGCCCCCAAAACAGGCAGAAATGGCCATCCGTGGGTATCCCTGATGGGCTATAGTAATGTCTGCAAAGCAATCTGTGAAAACACAAATATTATACATGGTCTAACAGAGGTAAAAACATAATGGTGTATAATATCCCATTGGTGTATGATTCTTTAAATATTAAAAGCCATCAAACACTATTTCACGCATTTTATTAGTACTTAACAGTGCCAACAAAAATAAAACCATGCAATCTAGTAGTTGTAAAATTATTTTCCTTTCATTTCAAGTTCTAGAATATTGGCTATGAGCTAAAATAATGGGAAGATAATGTGCAGTTTGTGATTTTTAATGTTTGTGAGTGAGTGTGTGTACCTCCAATGCTGTTGCCCCAGGCTAATAAGGTGAGGCCCAGTACAGTGTTGCTGAGACTGAGAACAACCCCCAGCAGGTGCAGCACACTAACAATCTCAGCCGCCACAGTGCTGATCCACAGCGCACTGACCACAAAACCTAGCAGAGAATAGAGCTACACACACACAGCAACAGAACAAATAAAACATTTCAAAAACAAAAGTAATACCCTTTTTTCAGCAAGGATGCATAAAATGGTTAAAAGAGACAGTAAAGACATTTAAAATGTCTATACAATGATTTCAAATAAACTGTGTTCTTTTGAAAGTTCTACTCAAAGAAGTCTAACAAAAAGTTACGGTTTCCACAAAAATATTAAGCCACACATGCTTTCAACATGAGTAACGGCTGCTGAAAATTCACCTGTCATCACAATAATAAATTGAATTTTAAAATATGTTAATAAAGGAATAGTTCACCTCAGAAATGAAAATTCTGTCATCATTTACTCACCCTCATGTCATTCCAAACCTGTATAAATTTCTTTCTTATGTTGAACATAAAATCAAATAGTTGATGGCCCCCCATTGACTTCCATAGTATTTTTTTTCCGTACTATAGAAGTCAATGGGGACCAACAATTGTTTGATTACCAGCATTCTTCAAAACATCTTCTTTTGTGTTCAACATAAGAAAGAAACTTATAGGTTTGCAACAACATGAGGGTGAGTACTGTAAATGATGACAGAATTTTCATTTTTGATGTGAACTATTACCGGTTTATTGTATGTGTGATCAAATAAATGCATAAGAAAATAAGAGTTGTCTTTAAAAAAAAAAAAGAAAAAGAAGATTCATACAAAGTGATATCTAGGAGGATGCTCATTTGTGGTAGTGAAGAAGACTATGCCAGAGAGGAAGACTCCGATGCAGAGTACAAGCACCCACACTGGAACTTCTCCTTCAATGAGCAGTAAGCCATCTTAAATGAAAGAGAAACATTGTCTGTTTCAGTCACATGTACTTTAGAGAACATGAAATGATTGCACAATATCTGCATCAACAGCATTTATCTTTCAGTTCATCTGACAGAATGCAGCAGATGCATTAAAGCAGGGGTGCCCAAACTCGGTCCTGGAGGGCCGGTGTCCAGGACCGAGTTTGGGCGCCCCTGCATTAAAGCAACAAATGACAGGGATGACATAACTATTTTTTTTATGTGCTTTTTTTATGTGCACATAAGAGATTGCTGTTGAACAGGTTTAGTTTCATGGTTCAAATAAAAATGCCAACCGACTTACACTTTCCCGACTGGAAGGTAAGCACACAGACCAGAGGCCCAGTGATTATGTGAAGACAGTTCAGAGGGCGTTTCCAGTTGTGATCCTCCTTATCTGTGTCCACCACAGGAACTGTCAACAATAACAGCACTTCTACAGGCACCTAACATAGTCAGACAGACAGGCAAAAAAGGATCTTCATCTTAAAATTTCATAGGCATGCATATTAGATTCATACAATCCAACAATTGGACAATTAGACAAGTTTATTTTGAACAATAGGTTACTAGAAGAATGATTACTTATTTAGAACCAAGAAGTGAAAGTGAATGCACATGTTTACACCTTGATCACTTTGAGGACTTTGGCACTCCAGTGCTGTCTCCTCCAGGTCCGGCTGTCCACCGGGTTAATGGCATTCAGGAAGATCTGAGCAGTGGATTGAGTGTAAGGCAGCAAAGGCTCATACTCTCCGTCATCTGAAACACACATATATACACACCAGCACTTACAAACACATACATGCAAGAATTTCACAGACAAATGCAAACCAATAGTCTAAAAAAAAATGGTTGATGAGTAGCATTTCAGAGCCAATGAAGCACACACAAACATAAAATGTAATGACTGAGCAGATAGAAACACTGTTACACCATACAGAATTTCCTTAAAGATGCAAAATTCTCTCTCACTTTCACTGTTACCAATGCAGATAGCATTATATATATATATATATATATATATATACACACACACACCAACAGTTACAAACACATACATGCAAGATTTTCACACAGATAAACGCTGTTACACCACACAGTACTTCCTTAAAGATGCAATATTCTCTCTCACTTTCACTGTTACCAATGCAGAATGCAACACACACTTTCAAAGTCCGGTAATTATGAAAGTCATAAATGGAAAAACCCATTGAAACTTCAGCCACTTACTTAGCCAACATACAGTAGTTTTAAGTTGAGAGGAAGTGACCCACCGTGTGCCTGAATGCTGCCACTCTGAATTTCTCTATATGAATCAGATGGGAGAGTCTCTCCTAAAAGTCACAAAAGAACAGCACTTATTAATCTCTGCCCAGTGATCAGATTAGCACTGCTGTTCATTCCATAACTTCAATAGCACTTTATTTAAATAGAGCTTTGAGTTTGCATTGTTGTGAGCACTATATCTGAATGTGTGAAAGCTTAGTGCAGTTAGCTCATATTTTACTAGGGATGAGAACAAGTACTAAAGTAAGTAAAGCTCAAGTCATCAAAAACAAGAATTTTGTGAGTTTACAACACATTTTGATGTGTTTACCTTAAAAGAAAAATGGTCACTCCTCATACAGGAATTGTAATGAAACTGAAAGTGGGTAGAAAGTGTGTGGTGTGTGTGATCAGTGCTGAGAAAGACTGCAGTCTCTTTACCCTCTTCTCTGCCTGTGGTCTGGGCCGATCCATTTAGCTGATGCTTCTGACGATTGTATATATATGCACTCACAATCACAGTCAAAACATATGCAATATACAGCCCCAGATAACCTGTGGAGAAAGAAATATTAATCATATCCATATACTATGCAAGGAAGTGGAACATGCAGAATGAAAAACGTGTCATTTTCCTAAATGAATGAAATGATGGTATAAATAAAGCGAATAACGGTTATCGGACCCACGGCTTCTCCCATGGAAATATGGCCTTTATATAGGATACTGAAGGTCCAGAACACAGCTGCCATGTAGAAAATGACATCACGAAGGAATGGACGGGACGCCACAGTGAAAGGCTTAACCAGAGCAATGCTTCCAGCTACCACTGTTGTAACAAAGATTCCCGCTCCTAGAAAAACCCCCCCCCCACAAAATCCAATTAGGAAAATGTTTTTATGATTGATGAATCTGTTCAAAAGAATTAAAGGTGAAGTGGGTAATTTCTGCAGCACCCAATGGTGCTGTATAAATATATTTCAAACACTTCCCCTGTCTGCCATTGTTCAAACAAAACAAATAGTCCCAAGGCTATGGTTGGACCATGTGCATGACTCAAGCAACCTGCAATTGTACAATTCAATTTGGTGCCTTTATTGGTTGGGAATTACACAGTTTACCTTTAAATACTCCAACACATGTCCTTGATGTGTGTGTGGGTGTATGTTTAACAGAGCTGATCTCTCACCAAACAGTGCTCCAACAGCAAGACCAGCAGTCTGAGGGTGGGAAAAAGCAGCCATGGCACTGAACACATCTGGAGCCCCATTTCCAAGTGCCAGGAACGTTACGCCCTGTTCCACTCAGTCACGGAAAACAATGAAAAAAAAATGGGACCGACACAACCTCTCAGTGCAAGTTGGACCTTTTCCAGCAATCAAACCCCAAACTCATCACTGAGGATTCCACTCAGTCACACATACTACACACCACTCTCAGTCATGCATACACTTTAATGACACAAACACACTTTGAAAACACTTCACGCTCATGAACAAACTTCAAGGAATAGTTCACCCAGTTG